AATGTGCATTCTAAAACACAGCCATCTTTCCAAATTCATACTTCTCTGATTTTTTGCAGTGCAGCTCCAGCCAAGTAATGTGTAGAAAAATGCCTATACTAAGGTTAAATGTCCCTTAAAATGTATATATTGGTGCAAAGAACTTACAAAAATGCATTTTATTGGGGGAAATTGTTTTGCAAAAATGCATTTTATTGGGGGAAATAGTTTTGCAAAAATGATTGTATTGGGCAAAATTGAATAAGGGAGAAAAGTATTTCATAAAATTTATACACCACCTTATTGCTTTTTTTTAAAAAAAAACCCTCAAAGTGGTTTACAATTCACGCTAAAATGCTGGTGATTTTTTTTAGGGCTCTTTAAAAAGAAAGAAAGATCAAACTGGTTTGGAAATGTGGATCTGCACTTAAGATTTGGGGGGAAAAGAGAAACTGAGAGAAGTCAAAATTGACAAACTCATCCCTCCCTCCCTGTAAGGAAAGTAGGTGGTTAAGAGCTAATGTTTATGCTAGGGCCATTATTTGCTTTCATCTTGCCCTATCAGCAGTTACTTGAAGAGATCAACATTACTTGAAGCTAAGACACATTGACAGTGTCTTAATCAGGGCACACAGTGTGCATGCTCCATGTGCCGCCACCATGTGCTGGATGCAGCCTGGCCCCCTGTAGAATCACATGTTGCTTTGGTTACAGATCACCTGAGCCATGCAGTGAAACCTGTTTCTACACACAGGTTGGCTTATCCAGAGCAGGCTGATATTCTCCACAATCATGAATGCTTTGACATTGTAAACTGGCCTGAGATCTGTAGATGAAGGGTGGTAGCAAAACCTCCCTCTCCTAGCTAGGCAGCAGAGCCCACTTACCACCACTGAGATATGGGAGCACAAGAATTGCCCTTCAACAGGACAAACCAGCAGGCATCCCAAATGTTCCGAGCTACGAGATAAAGGAAATGGTTCTGCATGCAATAAAACAAAACCAATGAAAAAAGTTCTTCTTTTCGGTAAATTATGGTTCTTGGGATCTCCCCACCTCCTCGACTGCTCGGTGCTTGGAGTTACATTATGTCTCAAGTAACTCTCCTGATGACAGTAGCTATCGTCGGATCATTAAGAATTTGCCATTGCCTGACCTTACATGGAAGGATATAGATGAAGATGCCACGTAAAAAACCAGCCCATTTTCATTTCTTCACCCTCACAAATCACTGTTAATTTAAAGCTCTGCTACCTTTATTCAGAACCAGGAGACCTGTCATAAGGCTATCAGCTACCCTTTGAGAAGTGCATAGGTAGTTTCTCTACTAAAATATATTTAGATCTGCCAACTGGTCTTTCTTTCCCCTTTCTGCCTATCCTCAGTTCCTAGCTTTCCAATTATAGCTCGCAACTAACCTGCTAGTGACCTGCACTCCATGCTCTAGCACACACTTTGCTTCCTGCAAAATCAATTTCCCCAACTAATTATAGCCACTGGCACCTCCCGTAATGGGCCCATAATAATAGAAGAACCATAGCTGCAACTGGTATTCTCTGTTTCAGAGGAGAAAAATGGGCACATCTTTATAACCATTGCCAATAAAAAACCAAATTTGTCATCTAGAGAACCTGAGTTCTGTGCCAAGAAAAGCCCACTTACGTGATTTGAGTACATTTTACAAATCTCGCAAAGCTGCATCTATTTGTTTATTTTGCAGGCTTTATTCCGCTTCTCATGTTATTGAGGATGGGATTAGAAACTCCACCCCATGACAACTAGAACTCATTTTCTGCCTTACCATCTGAGATTTCATCAAACAATGCCCACAAGTTTTTTGAGCTTGTCTCCACTAATAACTAGAATGCTGCTTTTTTAAAAAAGAATAAGACTGTCAGTTGAGATTCATTATCTGCACAAAGCAATCTACAAAAGAAACATGGAGTTCTGTCTCCATGTCCAAACACTGGATAATCTCTGGATGGACTTGGCTACGATGCCAGACAAGCACCTGGTAGACCAACTCCCAAATTCAATGCCCTACTCAGGAGGGATAGAACTCTAGCTAGCTAACTAACAACTATTGGTGGGACCCAATAGCTTACCACGGGCCCTTTAGATCTGCAGGTGCAAAACTATCAGTGCAGTGTCATCCCAACCAGAAGCCATAGTGGCTTCTCCACATTCAGATGGACTTGTGTTGATGAGTGTGAACTAGAAATAGCTCAGAGGCAGGGTACAAATGATCTCTTACTAGAGGTGAAAACACATGTCCTTCTGCAGTCTGTGGTACACATTATTTCTTATTTTCTGTATCATCCCTGTGGTGATCAAACCACCTCTTTGTTGTTTCATAGTGGATATCTGCTAAAATGTGTAACAAAGTTAAGCCGAGCCAGCATTGTTAAGTTGATGTCGTTGTACCTCTGCTGGATAGTGCCTGAGACGTTCCCAGTGATGAATGAAACACTCCCCATTTCAATAGAATTTATACTTTAAAAATCCATCTTGGAAATTGAACTTGCCCCTGCTAGAGGAATTCTATTTGGAGGGTCACCTGGAGCTCCCAAAGGCAATGATGAGCAGTCCATGTTAAGGAATTGTGAGGCAGAGCAGGAGGCAGATATGCTACCTTGTGTAGACTGCCTTCCATTTGTCTCCTCCTCTGCTCAATATTTGTTGCTGCTTCCACTTGTAAGAAAAAATATTACAAATATACCACAGATCTCCTTGTCCAAAGGGAAAAAAAGAATCTCAGGAATGTCTGGGAATGGTTGGGAAGTGGGAGCTTATAGCATTTTAAGTTCTACGATACAAAAGTGGCATAAAAAGGTAAAGGTAAAGGACCCCTGACAGTTAAATCCAGTCGCAGACGACTCTGGGGTTGTGGTGTTCATCTCGCTTTACAGGCCAAGCAAGCAGTTGTAGGTGGGAAGGGCAGAGCCAGGGTACAATTAAGCCATACCTTTGAATGGCCTGTTTGTGTCCACACAGGAGCAGAATCTAGGATCAGTATAATCTTCCCCTACCATCCTGGGAACACTAGTTCCTTCCTCAAAGAACTATAATTCTCAACACTCTTAACAATGTGCTTTAAATGTATGGTCTAGATCAGTGGTTCCCAATTGGTGGTCCACAGATCTCAAGGGGTCTGCGTAGCCCACCGAAGGAGTCTATGTCACTATTTACATAGCAAAAATGTACCATTGAGATATCAACATTTTCAAAATTTTGGCTTGGCTTTTGAAAAACAGGGGGTCCACAGTACTTAGCTAATTGGGAACCACTGGTATAGATCCTTTAATAGAAGACTGACTGAGGTTAATCATTTTGTATTTGATCTTTAGCTATTCTGGGTAATGCCCAAGTAAGTCAGAGAAGACCAACTTAAATCAATGGACTTCGATATTGCTTCCAATGGGTCTACTATGAGTATAACTAAAGTTAGATAAGAATAACATTATTCTTATATATGGTTTATTATATACCGCTGGTAAATTAATTCCATAAAAAGACACTATCAACCCCATAGCTGTCTATCCACGTGTATGCTCTCATGAGGCAAGGAGCCTCTCTCTCTCCTCTCATTCACCCCAGGTATGGTTTCACAGAGGCTTCAAACGAACTTGAGGCTAAAGGAACTAAACCATAATTGATATCTTCAGAAATATAGTCCTCAGAATATTATTGATGGCAAACATCTTGCTAGGTTTGGTCAATATTCTAAACAGAATGCAGAGGGAGGCAAATACTTTGCAAGATGCAAAGATGTCAGAAGCTAGCTTGTTTTTTAGAAGAATTGTATGCTGTGCCAATTCATTTCTCTATGGCAACCTTTTATGGAACTTTTCTTAATACACACAGTGAATTTAATCTGCTGAGATCTGAGACATGTAACTCCTCCAGGAAAATTATAGATTGCAATTTTAATTGAAAAAGACTGGCTATAAACTGATCTCTAGCATTATGATGACTAATTACATTTCTCCTTTCATAATTAACAAACTTTGAAGTAGTTTATATATTAGGTGCTTGCCCCCAGCCCTTGTAGGAAAAAGTGTTTTCTATGCTGGGAAAGGGAGAAAAAACTGTTCTCTTAAAAAAAACAACCCAGTCCTATGCAGTGTTGGATATACCGCAGTTACCGGTAGGTTGCAGTCCTGAACACAATTACTGGGATTAATTCACACTGAACGTGGTGCATTGGATTCCAGTTAATTACACAAGGGTTTAAGCATAACTAATTCTTCCTGGGATCGCAGTCCTAATCTTTTTACCTTGTACTAAATTACCTTGGATGCTATGAAAAACTGTTTTGGGGCAAACAATGCTGAAACAATGTGGCGATGCCATTACTAGGCCATCTAACTGTGAGCATACTGGAAGAGAAGTTTCCATATTATATAAAGCAGGGGTGGAGCACCTGTGGCTCTTCAGATGACAGCCGACTCAAACTCCATTCCACCCCAGCCAGCAGGGCCAACGATTATTTATTTATTTATTTATTCATTCATTCATTCATTCAAATGTGTATATGCCATCTTCTACATTAGATCTTGAGAGGCTGCACAGAAACAGAAGTTGGGAATCCAACAACGCCTGGAGGGACTAGGCTTCCTATCCTTGCTATAGCATAATAACATTTATACCAATATAATACAGATGACCTGTAAAATTAAAACAACAAAGACTCTGCTAGCTCCTTAAAGACCAACAAATTTATTATGGCATAAGCATTTGTTGGTTGGAGTGCAACAGAGGCAATGCCCCTCTAGAAATTTTAAAACTAAGTGTTTGTAAGCCACTGGTGCTGATGCTGGCAAGAGAGTGAAGTGTACAATAAGCTCATTTCCAACTAAACAGGGGCATGGGCATGCTGACATCACTCGCACATACCACAGGGCATGCTGCTGATATTGCGCTGTCCCACCCCCCTCAATTGCAGGGGCAAGGTGGTGCACCTGATTCCCTGGCGCCACCCCATAGTGACCTCACTCTGCATTCTCCTAGGGTGCTTCTGCCTGGTTGGAATGTGTCCCTAAAATGTGGTTATGGCTCCTGCTTGCCTGGATGGAGGATTGAGGGATGTGTTAAGGTTGTGGCTCTATGTAGAAACCTCTGACTTCTACAAAGGTAAGAGTCTCACCTGATGCTCCACTTACTTCGGCCTCTGCACCCATCCTCCACTTGCATGTGGCCCTAGGAAGCTTGCTCATGTGGGAATATGGCCCTGGGGCTGAAAAAAGATCCCCCACCTTTTCATAAACGGTTGTTAGATGTTGAAGTGAGTTGTGAGCCCTGACAAGAGATCCTGAAAGGAGGGGTGAATTCTCCCCTCCCCCCTAACAATATATTATTAAAAAGATAAGGAGGCACAGAATGGATAATGAAGAGCAGTATATATTGATGAGGTTGCAGAACAAGGTCAATAGGCAGAAGAGGCCTATTAATAACTGGAATATGAAGCCACAGAAAAATGTCAGCATACCAATCTTAATAAGCCAATAATAGCACCCCCGCCTTGAGTCCTGGCAGCAGTACAGACCTGGCAGGTCCAATGCATGTTACAGATACTTTGGAGATAATGGTGAGTTAGCAAGCTGGCCGCAAAAATCCCCTGCACATTAGATTCAAAGGCAGGTTTAACACCACATATTGTTGGGCCCTAAGTGTGATGGGTTACTTGGAAGGAAATGTAGAGTTTTGATTTTACTAAGAGCATGAGCTTTTTACTCTCTCGTTACACACAAAATGAAACCCAGTTTGGTGAAGGGCAGTGTACAGTATGGCTATTTTGAAAAGGAAAGTCATTTGAAGACTACCAAGAACATTGTGTGGAGAAAAAGATCACTGCCCTCAGCGAAACATGGGGACAGCCATCTTTTTCTCTGTGAAATTCCCCATGAAGAGGCTGTAGGTTACTATGTATGGTAGCTTTCTGGGAACATTTTAACATAGTTTGAGGGGTATTTTAGTACTCAGACACAGAACTGCTCTAAGCGACTAAAATGTTGAAAAAAAGAGGCAGCCTTTGAACCATCTCATAATACAGTACATCTCGTGCAGTTTGGTTTGTTGATTATGTGACTTAATCTGCAGATGTACATTCCAATCTGTGCATAGTGTCTGAGGAGGATGAAATTTAAAAGTTGTCCCAAGACACAAACCCCCCCCCTCCATCCGTACCTATGAGTATGTTAGGCAGCAATATGGTGGTGACGTACCTGTTTACTTAGGCTTTTTAGGTTTTTAATGCTCCTCCGTTTCAGCTCCTCTGTTTAGCTGTTTGAAATATACTCAGAGTCGCAAAGTGATTTCATGCTCTTTATTCAGCTCATAGTGGTGAGGAGGAATGAATGAATGTCTGAGGGGTCTGCTTTATATACATTATTTACACAATGGGCTGCACATGATTGGCTAATTCTGGAATTCTACTGTAAGCCAATCAGGTTGTGGATTCACTTCTATCTGGAGCATGATTGGGTGGTTCCTGCCAACCAATCATACTGCTGCATTGTTCTAAGACCAATCAGACTGCTGCATTCTGAATCCTATTGTTCTAGGACCAATCAGACTGCTGCCTTTTGGATCCTATTGTTCTAGGACCAATCAGACTGCTGCAGTTTGGATCCTATTCAATTCAGTACATAACACTGTTTTTAGTTGCTTTATTTGCTGGTGATTTAAGAACTGCCTTATTGTTTTACTGGCTTTAAAAACACACACACACAAAAAAACCCTCCTCTCTCCACCCCCTCAACTGGGCCCGTTATTGGTATCAATGAAAGGTAAACTATAAATCTTTAAAGCAAATTATTAAACGTATGTGGGAGGTGATAGAGCCTCCCATGCCTGATAGGGCAGGTACATTGTGGAATGTGCCCCCTCTGATCAAAGGCTGCCAATGAAGAATAGGTGGAAGGCTCCCTTGAACTTTGTGGGGACCCCCTTGTTCACAGAATAGATCATGGTCCTAATGCTTGAGAAGCAGAACTGTCAATATTGAGCCCAAGGCATTCTGATATTGTAATTCGGCACAGTAGAGCAATAAAATAATGAGTACTGGGACTGTCACATTTTACAAGTTGTTTAAGAGAGAATAATGATTTAGCAATGAGTGAAGAGAACTATCTGAACCTATCTGTTCTGAACAGGGGCAAGTAATTTTGTCTTGATCTTTGTTTCTACTTCCACAAAATAGAGATAATTACTTACCACACAGGATTACTTAGTGAGCCTCTTAAAATTCTTTACAAATGAAAAAAAAATCAGCTCAATATCAGTGTATTATTCTAATAAAGATGGCATTGGATTTATGGTGCCTCGTGGTAATTTATGGAACTAATTAAAAACTGAGTAGGTTGTGCAGAGTTTTAAATGCCTAATCAGTTACTTGAAGACCACCTACCTTTGCGAAGGCGCACACTCCACACGGTAACATCCCCCAAGAATTTATGATTAAAATAATAAAAGCCATGAAATAAAGTATAATCCTGATGTTAAATTTCCAAGATAAAACAGTTTGCTGAAATTGGAAAGTAATTAGAACATATTGTTTGATAGCATTTTTAAAATTGCAAGCTGTTTCATGTACTTTTGTGACGACTCTTTGGAAAGCACTTTTGGAGCATGGCCCAAGTGCAAACTGCAGCATGAAAAGTCCTTTGAGTTGTGTGGCCACTATGAATTGGCTATACTAGCTAAGTTCATTGAAGCCGAGCTCATAAATTAACTGGAATTAGTTGGAATTCTTCAGGTGGCACCTGGAATGAGAGGCAAGATTTTAGAACACACACCCCACCTCCATACACAAAAACCCTTTTCCAGCTCAGATCAACATCCAGGCCAGAAAAGCTTTCCCAGATTCCCTTCTCTTGGCCAACCCTGACCATCAGGTCCCAAAACATCTTCCTCATCTGCAAATGGAGAAGGAGCATGATGGCAGAAGGAGCATTGGAGAGCAGGGAAGAGGGTTTTCTCCTTCTGTCTCCATCACCTTACTATATGCCACAGCAAGCATCACCACTCTTCCTGCAGCATATCATGGCTGAGAGAACTGTGTTGCCTGAAATGCAATGACATTTGGATAAATTCCATTACCTATGAGGCCACTGCCCTTTCAAGCCTCTTGACATGCCATGGAGTGTGTCAAGACAAGGAAAGAAGGGAATGCTCTCCTCTCTGCTGTTGCTGCTACTGCCAGCATCATGACTTTTGCAGGTAAGTAAACAGAAAGATAGTGAGGGATCTGTTAGGGAAAGGGGGCTCATTTCATAAACCCCTCAAATTGTATCAAGAAATGAACTGGTCTGTTTCTGGTTGCAGTGGAGGAATCAGTTCATTTGCGAATCATTTTGAGGAGAGCATAGGGAAGGCTGAGGGTCACTCATTTCTACTAAATACATAAAAATAATAATAGCGGGGAGGAGAGCAGGCCAACAAGGAACAGGAGCAGAGACAGGTACCAAAATCTCAACAATCACTAAGTGCTTTTTTTATTAGAGACCACATTTTATCCTCACTTCCATAATTTACTGGTAGATATAAAGTTTTGCTAATACATGCCGGTATATTCTAGAACCAGCATGGCTACATGATACAAAGTGTGCATAACGATGCAGAGCAGCAATTTGGGCTGTACGGATCAGGCTAACAGTTGTGTGGCGAATGGGGACCAAAAAGGGGCTGTTAGGTGCAGTACTGCACTGTGCTAGCATTTATTTCCTGAGCAAGGTTTTGTATGTAGAAGTTTGCTTCCACACCTCTATGACCCATTGCTGGCTCCAGTCATAGTTTTGAGGAAGGGCCATAGCTCATAGGTAGAGCATCCCAGATTCAATCCCCAGCATCTCCAGGTAGGGCTGAGCTGGATGGGCCTAATGGTGTGACTCAGAGTATAAGGCAATGCCTTTTGTTCCTAGTTGCAGTAGACTAATGACTTACTTCTTATAGAGCGCACTATGGCAAGCTGTGCTTTGGCATTGGAATAGTGAAGATAAAGCATGGCACCTAGTCTGATTACAAAACTGTTGCTGTGGCGAATCCATAATTCATTCCCAGACTAGCCACATGATCCGGCCCTGAATGTCCATGAAAAAGGCATGAAAGGTATTACCAGAAGAAAGCAACCAACTGCAAAGCAAGGACAGTTGGTGCTTGATGCTGGTAATCCCATGAGGGCTACCAATGGCCTGGGATTCAGGCTTCTCAATAAGGGGTTGAGCCAAGGTTGTTGGGTGGGTCCCTGTGTGAATTCTAGATACCCTAGAAGTCTGCCTTGTGGCAACAAATACATTTATTCTCTACCATAGGCAGAAAATACTTTGAAATGGTGCTATTTTGGTGTTGACAGCATATCCTCATCATATGGGTACGTCTGAAAGAGCACAAACCAGAGCTGTCAACATCAACCACCCATCCAAACATTTGCCTGGGCTTTCAGATCCTGCAAAAAAATACTATGTTGTAAGCCACCGCTGCCAGTGCTAGGCATGAGGGTTTCATCACTGCACAGCACCCTGTTGCAGAAGCAAACTTCCAAATACAGGCCCTGTTCCAAAATAATGGTCTGCACCTGGGTGCCTGTTTTCATATGGAGGTACCCCTTGCATGGGCCAACAGTTTCACAAAGAAAACAAAAGCCCTAGTCTCTCACCATGATGGAAATGGAGAATGAGGAACAGAATGAGATTGCCACAAGTATAAATTAGTTTTGCATTTTTGATTGTCTAATTTCCCCCCCCCCAAGGCAGCTTTCCTAGTTGGCATGCTCATAACTACACTGGTGGCACAGAGATATGTAGTAATTAATCTCCCACTCCCCCATCCCGTCTCTCTCTAACCCCCCTCCCCACCGATGCCAAAATAATGTATAGCATAGCCAGATTCCAAAAAAAGCATTCTTGCTGGCTTCTGTAAACTCACCTGTAGTTTGCTGACACACTCATCACTCTGTTTCAGAGCTATCAAATAGTGTTTCAGACTGCATGAGAAATTAATAATAATCTTGCAATTCCAGCTCCTGATGAGTTAGCCAAGAGGAGGCATAAAGAATGTAATGTCAGGAGAACCCCCCACTTATGGAGCATCACTTCAAAAACTGCTGAGAATGGTAAGAAAAACCAATAGGATTTTACTTTACTATTATTCTCTCATATGCTGGGGAGAGGTTGAGGCAGTGGGAAATGGTAAAAAATTGTGATTATTCTGTACTTAGTAAAATACGATTGATATTGGAGTTTTTTGTTCAAGGTCTATACCAAAGTACTATTGAGTTCTGAGACATGTTCCCTTTCTCTGGCTATATTGAAAGCATTTTCATTGGAAATAGCATAAGAAATCCAACAGCTGTCTTAAACCATTTTGCTGGAAGGAAATCAGCAGGGTAACGTCAGTCATATTAATTACTTGCAGGAGGAAGGTAAGCGGAAGAACGAATTAAAAACAACAGGTTTTATTTTCTTCCCCCCTCCGTTCTGTCCCCACCCGCAAGAAACCTAGAAGAGAATAGTTGCAATTTCATTTGCTTTTAAAGCACAGCACTTGGTAATAAACGGCCCCTGCAAATGTGCTGAGCAAACACCTTCGCATTCATCAATATGCGGGAGCTGTTTATTGCCTCATAAACTTGGAAGCAAGTGATATTGTCTCTTAAATCAATGGCTGCCTGGACATCCTTGGCACTGGAGAAGAACAGTACATCCAGACAACGTTGATACTTAAATTAATGACTCTGGTAATGACTGAAAGGTGCTTAGTCACTGATGGAAAAATTAGGCACAGATCTAAAATGTTCTCAGCATACTTAATATGTGTACTACAAAACAAAGGGAATGGATGGGTACAGGTGTGTGTGTGTGATTGGTGTGTGTGTGTGTGTGTGTGTGTGTGTGTGTGTAGGTGTGTGCATCTCACTGCAATGACCATAACCAATTTTAAGCAAAGGTTAGTCTGTGAAGACAAACAGAACCAGGCTGACTTTTGCTTCTTCCAAGCTAATGCCAAAATCAGCATTTAAAATTAATGTTAAAAAACAACCATGGCTGTTTGGGAGGAATGTAAATTGAATTAGCTTTTTGCCACTTACAATTAGATTTAAAAGCCCTTAACTATTTAAATTGTAGGACTGAGCTGGTTGTTGTAACACATTAGATCAGACCAATACCAAACGGCTATATATACCTCAACAGCTGGGAAGTCAGAGAACAAGATCATCACAATGTGGTCTTGTGCTGGCCATAATCCAAAGTCATAGCATAATGAAATGTTGCCTTTATTCCAAGTCAATTTATCCATTTAGCCTAGTATTTCTACTTGGACTGGCAGCAGCTCTCCAGCCCCCAAGAGGCAAGTCCAGTGAAGGAGCAGGACGCAGAAGCTTGGCACAATAGTTTCACTTTTCCAAAATAATCCAGCTAGCCTGTCAAAAATTTCACTAGCCTGCAGAACCAGCATTGTCTTTTGTTCTTCAGTCTCTTTGTTAAACCCCACTGTTTTGTGGGGTTTAACTCTCCATGCAATGTTTTTGAAATATTCTGTTTATGCAAGGAGAAACCAACCCAACCTTTTTTCACCAAAGGTTTGTTGATGATGGTGAGGGTGGTGGAAAACCACTAACATAATTTTATCATTTATAGTGTATATGACCAAGAGTATAGAGCAGTTCATAGAAACCAGAAAGTCTTGTTTAGCATTTCAAAAGGTCTAGACCTTTTTCCAGTTTTGTGTTTTAGTATTACTTACTTGATTAAAATGAAACCTCTTGACACATTAATGAGGAAAATGCAATGAGATGCTTGCAGTTTGCCTTAAAAAGATGAGGAGTTGCACTGAAACTTCAGAGCAACAACACCGAAACTTGTAGCAAAGCTCTTATATTGGGAGAAGCCTGTTTTTTTCTTTTTTCTTTTTGAAGCACTTGTTGACAACCATACTATCAAACCCAAAATTAGTAGTCTTTGCCAGGCACTGCATTAGCCTAAATTGTATCGACACATTAGAGCGGAGGGAGGGAGGGGACTTTCGGAGGGGTGTGAGAAATTATCCCTGCATTTGAGAAATTAAGAGTGCTAGATGTTTGGCTCAGTGAAAGAATTACTGGGATTCTGGCGGTGTCCTGAAATGCTTCTAAAAAGATAAATTATTTTGTTAAGGATAGCTGTGAAAGGCCAGCTTTTCAACTGAACTTCATAAGAGAAGGCATTCTGATGGAACCCAGCAGGGAAGAGTTCATTCAAAAGTACTTGCAATCATCCCTTTTCCTAATGAAGACCCCAGAATAGCCACCAGACATTGTAAGAATGGCATTCCGTTTGACACCAATGACCTTGCTACTCTCATCAGCAAATATTAGCTTCAATTATATTCATTTATTTATTAAATTATATCCCACCTTTTCTCCAAGGTGCTCAAGGTGACATAAATGGTCCCCCCACAGCTTGATGTTACATTCACAACAAACCTGTGAAGCTGGTTAGGCTGGGATGTAGTGATTGGTCCAAGGTCACCCAATGAGGTTCATGGCTGAATGAGGATTTGAACTCTGGTCTCCCCAGTGCAAGTCTAGTGCACCACACTGGCTCTCATTGTTTGTCATTTCGACAGCATCAACAGGTCACATTTCACTGCTGTTCTGCATATTAACCTAAGGATGTAAGGGTTCTCCTCGGTTTCTCAGAGCTGAAATTAAGAAACTGCTTTTTCTTCTGCCACCACACCTCCAAGGATGAACAAGACCAGCCTGTGGCCCAACTAAACTGATAAAGGAACACCAGGGCAGAGGGCAAAATTATACCACAACGCTTCATTCTTGGTAAAATCATCACCTACTAATTTTTTGTTAGTTTTTCCTTCATTCCCTTTCTCTCTCTCTCTCTCTCTCTCTCTCTCTCTCTCACACACACACACACACACACACACACACACACACACACACTTTAGCCAATCATGGTCCTTCCTGAGGCTTCTAAAACAGCAGTTAAAGAAGCTGTCAGAAAACGTGGGCGTAGGGGCTCTGTGCCTCCCTTCTAAGTGGCACACCATGCAGCAACCTTCTTGACATCTTGCCAGAGGCTGTGCTTTGTGCCATCAGTTTGGTGTGCTGCTTTCTGCTTCCCTCATTTCCCTCTTTCCTCCTCCTTTCAACATAGGTTCTGATGTCTGTGCATAGTGGAAACAAAAATGGACTTGTTTTCATTATCTTAGAGGCAGCAACCATTCAGTTCCTTCTCACTGACAAACAAGGTTGCTCTAGGAATCCAAACCCCACTTGACGGTTCAGAAGCTTGCGTGTAATACGTAAAGCCTTTAAAAGGAACAAATGGCAGGAGCTTGTGTCTTTCAAATCCTTCCTGGGATGTGTAAATGTTAAACTGGTTTGGCTATGCAGAGCTGCCAAAATTACATTGGCAGATTTACAGCAAAGGTTAATGAAACTCAAATAAATAAGATGATGATGTTGTGCTCAGACACTCTTATCATTCCATTATGCATCTTAGAAGTACAACATAATGTTTCAATGCAGAGTGCTGCTTTTCAGAGTTCCACCCCAACTAGCCATGTCCTCTTCCAGGATACACCAGGTCACTTCCCACCCCACAGGTTTTCGTCTCTCCCTCCTCCTTCTCCTCAGTCAGTATTCTATGGTTACTGAGCATGATCAGTTCCCAATGGACTATTTTGGAAAATCGATGTTGTATGTATAGCGTATTCAGGTGGTTTGCCAAGCGGGGCAAAGGGATAATTCGACCTATAGATCTTCCTGATTTTTTAAATGCTGGCCAAAGAAATGCCGACTTTACTCCTTCTAGCATTTCTTAAGAGCGATCAGTAGTTTTAAATGTATTTGCCAAGTGTGGTATGTTCCTCTCTACAGCTGCAAGCCTAGGTACACTTCCTTGTATATAAACCCTATCAAAATCAACAACTTTCTTCATAGTGAATATATTGCTTTGCAATCAAAGAAGGCAAGGTCAGTTGCCGAGAGACTTTTTTTTTTACCTCTCCCAGTTTGTGTCTTGATTGGCAGAAGGAAAGGAGACTCTGCATTTAGTTATTATTACCACATTTCTCCAGACACTTCCAGCCTAATGTTCCCCATCCCTACTTTAATTTGATGGAGGAAGGCTGGGGGGCATGTGAAACCGTGCAAATTCAAGAGGGTCTGTTTTTATTCTACTGAATCCAACTTCTACACAGACCCCTGGGGGAGGGGGAAAACAATTGACTGGGAGGGGGTGCCCATGACACTTTCTCAAAATTCCAAATGAGCCTTTGGTCCTAAAAGGTTGCCCACTGTACAGCGTTCAGCTCTATGCTGGTTGTCAGTGCCAGAGCAAGGGAGGTGACAGTCGACCAAACACTTATTTTGGTCGTAAATTGTGCTTCAAAAGGGCATACCATCTCAGTCAGAGATACAACCATGTGAGCGGCAATCTTGTCTAAGCCTGCAGTCCTATGCACACCTAGCAGGGAGTAAGTCCCATTGGACTCAGGTGGACCTAGGGCTGCACTCATAAGAGCCAACTCCCAAGGGCCGAGGTCCCTTCAGTCCCCCAATAAAACACTTGAGGGGTTTGGGGGCTCCCAAAGTTGATGGGCATTGCCATTCAAATGGTGTGTGTGTGTGCCATGCCTTGTGATCAGTTAAGTGGGGCGGGGCTTACCTGACCACCCCACCCCCATATTTTATTCAAGTTGGCAACCCTGGTTGCATTGCAAGTTAATGAATTGAGATTTGACTTCTATGACTAAATAAAAATAAACAAAGAGGTTTGTCTCGCTTTAGGAAGAAGTGAGGCTCAATGGGCATCTGGACAAGATAAGAGTACTGTATTGGAATGCTAGTTTAATCTTTTCCCAATGAAATAACCAGTTCACTTAATCAGGACGGAAGCAGGATGAAAACGTTCCACTCAGCAGATAAATCCACCAGCTCCCTTATCCTATCTCCACCACTGCAAATGCATTTAGTTGTCATCTGGTATTTCTGTTTTCATTCTAATTCTTTCTGCCTTGTTATTCTGTCAGTTTCTTAATCTATTTACACTGACTTTATTTTTAGTATGTCTATTGTGACAGTAAATCCTAGAATTGCCTTCGGTGTTGTCTGAA